ACCCGAATCACGTGCTATCCACTCACACCCAGACAGTCACACCCGCCAGTATTACCCCGAACTTATACACATTCACGTCTGCAACAACAACAACAACAACAACAAAGACGACAGAGTACAAGGAAAAGGGGTATGACGTCGATGGACAAAATAATAGTGATAAAAGTCACTACCAACCAGGCTCCAATGGCCTGAGTTACGTCGGCTTCGTTGCCCCTTCACTACTTTAAGGGGGCTACAAAGGCCTTCCCCGCAATGCGGTGCTCTCCCTTTTCAACGTAAGAAATTAAAAAATGAATGAATGAATACTAGTCTAGACATATCGCAGCGAGAGAAAATGGCGTCTGCAGGAGAGCCTGCGCAGGATAATTCCGTTTATCAGCGTCATCAACAGCTGCAGCAGTAGCGACGACGGCAGTGAGAACAAACGCGCCAACTGTGCGATGTAATTCGATCATCTTTGTCATTTTCAGCTTTTTTAAGACATTATCATCTATATAAACGGCCTGTCAGTAACTTGGTCAACCATTCTTCTCTCGGAAAGTAGCTCTATCGCTTCTTTGCGGATATACCGTATGGTATCATCGATCACCCCGTTTCAGCGCGCGTCTCTGCGCGAGTTTGTTTCTCAACGTTATTCCGCTCCTGCATCATCTTGGCACCGTACGGAGGTAGATCCATTGGCTGCTCATTGTTTAATAAATAGTGGAATTATTGTATACAGCATTTCTTTAATATTACTACTGAACTATGGCAATTAATTGTAAAAGGAAAATCTTCACAGCATCTAGTGGAAATGCCACACCATTATACGCTCATACATTTATATCTATGTGTATATAACGCGCGACTTTAAAGATCCCTGGGTACATTTGCGAATATGAAATCTTTTCGTCTCCGTAGGGGACTTCAGCGCTGCTAGCCAATTAGAGCGTCAGTTAAGTTGCATTTATTCATGTTGGCTGATGAACGGCAGAGAAGAACTGGACGCTATGATAGCTTTGCTGCGGCTGATAAACGATATAATAGTTCAACATAATAACTAGGTGACCATTTAGTTTGGTCATTCAGTCATCAGACGTATTACGCTCTATCAGATATCGTCTGCTCGCCCCCGTTGGATGGGCGGTCAACGGTTACTTTGCACTTAAGTTCACCCAGGGAATATCACCCTTTACATGTCGACTTCTTTTAGGCGACCGCAGCATGAGTTGTCACATTTACCCCCCACACACTGACGCAGTATGAAGGACATCTAAATAGAAAATCCTTTGTGTACCGTTGCGGACTTACAATAGATAAATGATATTCAAAGACGTTGAATGCAAATAATAATAACGATATAGCTTAGTTAACAATATGGATTTAAATGAAAAATATAAATACTCTCCGCAATTCATCTGTAATGAATATGACTATTTCTCTATTTATGGTACTAACATGAAAGGGATACTTGATGTCTGGCTATGGCCGACGCTGAAATGGACAGAATGACATAACCGATCTATTTGTTCCAGCCTAGAATTGAAATGTCGCAGTTACAGCTTGTGTTCTTGTAATAGAGGATTAAAACATAAACAAAGCTTCCATATCGTAGTTTGTGAAATTATGTCCACCATATTTTTTCGACAACACAACGACATATTTTTACACGCAAGTGCCATAGTCTATCGTACTCATATCCTAAATAAAAGAATAATGATCAATATACATTTTAATAGCTTACTTACGATAATAGCTAAAATATTTTTAATTCTATGTCTTATATAAGGCTAATTCTCTCCATCGTTAGACAACTATCTCTGTATTATCAATTAACGAGATTTGAGTTTTCCACTTTATTTCAAGATATACCAATTATCTATTTGAACGTATTCTTCTTCACTATTTCCTTTTTAATCCACGTTTTAACATAACATTTCCTTACTGCCATAGTGGGTAACGTGTTTGCAGGGTAAAGGCAGGAATACATAATGAGGTAGGTTTGGGCGAATTTAGACATAGGTCAACATAGTTTTGCCTTTGGTAGCCGACCTAAAAAATAATGTCTAAAGGCTTATATACAACACGCAAAAAAACACACTATTAGCGGAGGTTCTTCTATTTAATGTTTATTTCATCTCAAATGACCTACGTACAATGCAGTGGAGTGAATTTTATGGGCTGATGGATGATGATGGAGAGGGATATGCCGCGTCATATATTTTGCCACGCGACTCAATATATTTATTGGATTTTATTACGCTGATCTAGTGGTGTAACGGGCAAAGCGGGCTCAGGTCATCTGTTTCGGGTTCTACTGCCACATTGTTTCAAGCTGCTGGTTCTTTGCCAATGAAATGACATGTACCTACGCCCGATTTCAAATTTAAAAATTGGTTTACATGATATTTGATGATGTTTATTATATATAATGATGATAAACATTATCGTTATTTATTTCATCGAGTTCTTTCTTAAAGTTCTCTGTTTAGCCAGTATCTACATAACACATAATTTTACTATAGCAACAGATGCTGAATTTGCAATATTTTTCCAATAAGTTTTAAATTTTTAGAAAGTATTAAAAAATAAAGGTATTAAAACATGCCGAACATTTTGAATGGGATTAGAAATTTTCCTGTTTTTTCCCAAAACGTTTATGGCACGTCAATTATTTTTATTGTGCAATTAATGGCTATAAAGAACACCAATGCTCAAGGACTAATGTGTGTACAGGATGATGATGTTTTTCATATGTATGTCAATAATCGTGGCGTTCGTCGCACAAGTAATGTAGAGAAGTATTTATTGGATAGTTGTCCTACGATTTTCGGATCTCGACACACTGATTTCCTGTGCAGTAAAAGGTCTAAAACCTAATTCGTTTGATAGATGGCCTAACTTTAGACCAGAAAAGGCTGTCATGCTTTTTTCTAAAGGTGATTTTTTGAATTCTTGTGAGGTCTCTTGCATTTTTGCCAATTGTTTCATTAGATATTCATCACTATCAAATACTTCTAACGTTTTTGAAAATGGTCCCAAATATTCATGTAGTTCTAAAGTTTTTTTAGGACCAATGCAGTTTCGTTATCTGGTATCTGATTAAAGCTAACAAATGGCCTATTGCAAATATACTTTTCTCATAAAAAACCAAAGTGTTCATTACAATACGCATTGGTCCTTAGGCTTGATCGAGTTATCCAATGCAGCCATACTGAACGTTGCCCAATAAATACATTTTAAGGCAATCACAGTGTTTGACTGTGATTACCTTAAAAATAAAAAATTCTTTCAAAAACACCTTCGAAAAAAAATAGGGCATTTTTTTTGTCTAAAATTAAGCCTCAGAGGCCTAATCCAACATCAAAAAAACGGCTTGTGCCGAGTCATTGAATCCGATACGACTTGGAGGACACACGCACGTATACTCTAGAGTAGCTTTAATTTTTTGTTGGCTTGGTATCACATTTTTTTCTTCCTTTTCCACATTATCTTGCTCTCACTCGACTCATTATTTGAGTTTTTCCTTAATTCATTTTTCTATTATCTATCTGCTTGCATATTATTGAATCAAAATAATTTTTAAATTACTTGTGTTTGTTCATAGGGATTGCGTTATGTAAACTATAATGGGCGAAAAAAGGGGCAAACGTCAAACCTGGTGTATTTCTTGATAGGCAGTGGCTGTTTCGCAACGCGGTTGCTTCGGATTGGTACAGTATATAGAATTCAACCGCTAATGTCGTCTGCATGCGAATTAATTTTCTAAAAATTTTTATTCGTTGCTTCACCACTTGAGTGTAGATGTAAGACTTTGCATAATTCGTAAAATGAAACATCACTTGATTAAAAACTTAACTTGAGTCACTTTTAATGATGATAATCTTAGTAATCATTTTAACAAATGTTTTGCTTACAACATTAAGTCACATACCTACCTTTTTTATATTACTATATATTTTAAAGTTTGAATATTCTTTGTTATCTGTCTATAGTTGAAATTACTTTTAGCATAGAGCCTTCAAGTACGAAGAAGTATTACCTACTAACTTTTTTCGATGCTAATCTCAGTAGCACCTCTGTGGCACTCAGGTAATTCGCTACATCTATCAGTCATTTGGCAGAAAATTGTCAGTCCGCTTGATTACAACGAGAACAAATCGTATTACTCAAGATCTCTGTAAAACGTATATTAAGGGATTGACTCACTACACTATATTCGATCAGAACAGTAATTCGTTTGCTTAACTAATTTATGTGACGAGTTCAGTATCAATATTTATCGAAATTTCATAGAGAACAGACTGGAATCTTTTTTAACGTAATTCTGTTCTCAAGCAAGCGATTTATTTTTTATCAGGATCAATTTGATTTTTTTACGCTCGGGCTACTTTTATCTGTTATGAAATCATAGCTTAATTAATTAATCAATGCTATTCTAATAGACTGAACGTTATACGATTATCTGGTCACCGCCTCTCTTATACGCTACTGATTTTTCTAATTCTCAAGTGTACAATTGACTTATTTTATAGGCATTTACTTTTGAAACTCCTTGTAATAAAGGATGCCAACTCTATGCAAGCAGTGTCCTTAACTGGTTGGCGAAAGTCTCTATTCGCTGGGAGTTGCATATTTGCAAGCTTTTAACCCTAAACTCATTTAGGTGGGTATTCAATTTCTACTTTCTTTATATATTATTATAAATAAAAGATAGTATTCTACCTTAACTTACTGGAGATTCATAGCTGCTTTATGATTAATCCACCATATAATTTTCTGATTTTCTTATACGCACTTCATTGTCAAAAAAACTATTTCATTCCGTGTTTCATTACAAGTTAGAGATAACAATCACTTGTTTTTTCGAGTCCTCTTTCAACTAATAAATCCCATCCGGGCGCTGACTTATCGTTTGACAAGATATTTGATCTGATGGCTCCTTGCTATTACTCGGAATAATGCTCCTTAATCGACGGAAACAGATCCTGTGCTCTTGGAACAGTGGCCGTTGGCGCTGCTGTTGCCTGTGTCTCTCTTCTGGTATTCGCGGAGCCGCTGCGAGCTCCGAACAGAGTTGTTCGGTCCAAAAAGAGGCGTAAAGTATCCTAGGTGCCACTGGATGAAAACTTAAGGTGTTTTTTGCTGAGTTGCTTGTGCTCTGTCCAGCTATACAGAGTTGGTTGCGAAACAGTTCTGTAAATTCGCTTCGTGATTTGAGACGCAAGCCAAAATGGGTCGCTCAGATGAACCTGATAATCAAGAAGTCATGGGAGATGCTAGAGAAATTCGGGAAGAAGATCCCGAAGGCCAATTTAACGAGGAAGGTGAAGAGGGTTACGACGAGATTCGAGAACTCGACGAAGGCTTTGTGGATGAAAGAGGTAAATAGATAAAATCAATACATAGCTTAGATCAAAAATTGGTGAATATGAAAAGTATTCCTACGGGAAAATGGTGCAACTTATTTATGTTATTTACTGGGGGCGCTGCGCTGGACAAGCACTGGTCATCGAAACATGTTTTCCTCCCACTTGTTTATTATCTTTCACTTTATTATCTTTCCTTAATGCCAAAATATTTTAAAGCTAGCAGACTGTTCAGTATTGCTGTGGCATTTGGCGATGGCAACCCTCGCTACCAGCTGCCTGTCATGAGAACCCGCGCGGTGTAAGGGGGTGACGGAGTCCTATATGTATAGAATCTGTGCTTAACTAATGTCAAGCATATTGATCACCACTGTCTTGTAGAACTATAACTTAATATCTGAGCAAAATACCTAACGGAGCTTGTAACTTCTCCAGTTTCCTCCAGGAAAGTATCAGAAGATTCCTTGAGGTATAATAAATGCGTGCGTATATGATGCGCAGACACAAACTTATTCCAACAATGTAAATATATGAGTATAAAGAGTGGCATTTATGTCAGTAAACCAGTTGGAATCACCAATACATAATAAATACGTACGGTTTGTTATCTGTGAGGTAATTGGACGGGCCTTTTGACAAGTTGCTTTAAGCTATGTTTTGAGGGTCAAATTCACACAGATGTCACCACTGTTCTGTACAATCGTCCGCGGCTATTTTGTCAACTTTGACAACATAACTCAAGCTAGGAAATGTGCCGTAACCACTTGTTCGCAAGATTGCAAGGGCCTTTATTTTTTATATTTTCAGCGCTACGATATCCTCGAAGCACCTACTGACTTACATCGAAGAATGTATATATGTAAGCGGAATAGAGAATGGACAAATAAATAGAAGAACCAGCTACTTCATTTGTGTCCAAACTAGTTTGCATTCTTTATAAAGCATTAAATTATGATAGGATTAAAAAACTGTCGTGTGAAATAATATGTATATTTAATGGACGGAATATATGCACGAAATGTGGGCATGCCCATTATTAACTCAACTTACATTTACTATTTGAATATTGAATTCACATATGCAGATAGAATATGAAGTCAATGAAGTACACATTTTTATATTTCGGTTCTTAAAGGCCGCAGTAGACACTCCGATAGATAATTTACACATATGTACGCAGGGCGTGTGATGAAATAGAGTACATATTTTTTAAGTCTGTCAAAAAAACCTTTCATGCAATCTTCATTGGTGTTAAATTACCGGTCAATGTATATTGCTACTCTTGTGGCTGTATAATTTAAAATCACTAATTCAAACACTCTGGCATTTTATGGAGATTAGTAAAAGTTTATCTTCACTTTAATAGTACCAAGATAATGGTACCATTACGTTTTTAACTGAAACGACCTTTATACTGAGTTTCGTACGTTACGAGAAATAGCTACGTCACGTTTTTTTGTTTCATTTACTATCCAGGTAGCATCGTATATTTATCCCCGCGCACTCTTCAATAACGCATCTCCATTTTGTATTGTTGGTGTTACGCTTATTGAAGTTTTCGAACCTTTTTTTTCAGAAATTTCAACGGTCAACGATGCTCTGGACAATATCAGCCAGGCATTAGATAAGCTCGAGGAGCAGAACGACCAGCTAAACGAACAACTCCGGTCTATCCTTGCTGCTTCGGAAAGAATCAAAAGCGGTATGGATTCCGTCAACAGTTTCGGTACCTCCAGCTCCAATAGCGGGCAGGCATAGCAGGCGAATAATACGAAAAGAAGATATATAATACATAGGTGCTTGGTCAATCAGGCTAATATTCAGTCTCGAACAGCTACTCAGACGCTTAGTTACAGTTGAATGAAAAATATGTAAGAAAATTGGCATTGGTTAGGAACTTCATGAATCTTCTGCACTAAATATAGCCAAAAATGAGGAATGGCATTGTACAATTCACCGAACATTGGACAGCAACTAATTTACTTAGGAAATAAGGTACTGCCTATTGGATGCGTCGACATGGAAGTTTCAGATTGAAAATGATGATTAATGTTAACAAGAGATTTGATACCGCCGGGAAATGGTTGTATCCGTTAAAGGCTGTGTTAAAACGGAATTTAACAAATCTGATTTTATGTGTGGGATTTGGAAGCTATGTAAACGCCCGTTTTGACAACTGCAAAAAGCTGATAGTTAGATCTAATCATAGTTTTTTGTTCAGAAGTGGGCTGTAGCTTATATTTCATTTGAAGATTACATAATAAATGACGTGGATTAGGCACGCCATCTGCCAAACATTTGAACAGAAACGTTAGCGTTGCTATCTGGAAAAACACAAGTATGTGAAAAAATTTCTTGACAGTCCTTTAACAAGATATAATTGTCATATTAAAGAAGATATTTAATAACGTGCATTAATATTTACTTTTTCTAAACATTCTATGGACGCGAACAAATGACACAAAAATGAAGTTAAGATTGCTGACGAAAACAAATTTTAAGGATACTTTTACGAAAATATTTCACTATTTCTAGATACTAGCCATTGTTTTCCTAAACATATTTCAATTATATTTATTGTTCAACCGTGTGATATATATGTTTTAATGAAGAGAAACAATTTAATATAATCTTAAGGTCAACCATAATTCTGTACAAGTTAGGTTTAACGCATGATTTAATTTCTGTCGAGTGTATACGGCTGTTTAGTCATAAAAGTCAACTGTATTTTCCTGTTCATGGTATGTTTAATTCAGATATCTGAGGTAATGCTTCTTTTTTCATTTTGTATTACTAGTTCATAGTTTTCGAGATGGCGTTATTGCATATGTAGAACTAAACCTATTAGAGAAACGATTTATCAGTGTTTAGTTTGCCACTTAATTAGATATAAATCCTTTTTCCTTGTGGTCAATCTTGAATTAGATCACTTCATTTCATCTGCTTATCTACAGATGGAGTAAAACAGGCTGGACAAATATTGTCTGACAAACACCAAGAACCAAAAATGTTACAAGAAAAACAACAACAATTTTATGAAGCGTTCTTCTTCGATGCTGTTTGAAGACAGAAGTATTTGTACCGTACACATGGTAGAGTATGTATAACACTAGCAAGGATTATAGAAATACTACACTGCCAAACACGAGCATAGATAGGAAGGCATATATTGAATGATGTATCGTAAGATCATAGTTCCTTATAGTTGTAGTGGTTCTTCCCGGTTTTTACCGCTAAAACACAGAGCTAACACAAACTAAACTCATCAATCGATCACAGTGCAAGTTTAGCCGATCGCACGATTGTTATTTTGCATTGCTATTACTAAGCCTATTCAGAGGAACTCTCTCTCGGTTCTCATATCTGTTATGACGAGAATCACAATAGCTTACAGTTTAATAGTGCTGATGGTTGCAAAAGATATTCAACAAATATCTGCGAGAATAAATAAACCTTTTGAGTTCCTATGTCCGTTTAAACTGCTTTAATTAAGCATTGATACTTCAGACGGCTAGCGCCATCTGAATCACTAATGCTTAGTAAGGACAAATTACATGGACATGAAAGCTTAGACCATCTATATTCAAACATCTATATATGTCTGCGGCTGATTCGTCACCGTTCGACAGTAAGCGAACTGATCGCACGAAAAGACAAGTTTCTACCGACCGGGAAAGTTTCTATTCAATGTTTCATGAAAGGCACGAACAGAGTTGAAAATTGTTATCACAATTAGCGGTAGCACAGTATTACGATGTGTTTGTGTATGTCTGTTTGCTAATTTCGGAACCTGAATTAACGTCACATCTCACTGATAAATGAAAGTCGATGCTCTACAAGTGGTGTTTTCTTGAAATTGAATCCTGAAGATTGGGTAAAAAGGCAGAGAAGTGTTTTAGAATGAAAGAAGACTGACTGACTGGCTGGCTGGCTAACTGCCTATCGATTGTCTTTAAAATCGGCTGATGAGTTACGGGTGAATCATGTAATCGAAAGCGTTTGCGGTTTCAGGCATCGTTTCTAAAACATAAATGCAAATCACAATTGCAGTCGGGGGAACGAAGTAAAAGTATGTCGCTGTTGATTTCTAATAGATCTATTTAAGCACATGCACGTAACTGGCAGCATATGACATCATGTTATTACGCCCTTAGATTGATTTTTGAAGGACTGAGACAAATTGAAAGAGGTTAACTAATTACGATATGAAACTATCTAATAAACATTAGATTTAAATATTGCGAAATTACATGATTGTTCTTTTTACATTTAGATTAAGAACTGCCCACAGGTACAGACGATTGACTTCATCGAACAATTTAACGAACAGTTAAGTTTATTTATTTACTTTATTTTAAAACAAGAAGAACATACTCTTTCGTTTTTCTTATAATGCATTCTATCTATGTTGTTTATTGTAATCTCTACTTGGCTATGACTAACCTTTTTAGCAGCAAACTGTAAGCAGGCAACTAAAAGGCATAGACAAAGGAAATCTTTTTGCATATATTTGTTGACATTTGTTGACTAGAAAATGTTTTTCTGTCAGGATATAGATTAAGTTGCATTGATTTGTTCATGAAATCCTGCTCATTTCCATAGATACAAAATTTTCAACCTATAGTTTACTGTTATGTCACTCTGTCAGAAAAGCTTTGTCAACGACAAAAAATGAAAAGACAAAAGTGACAAGAAGAGGCAGAAAAAAAAACAAGAAAGGAAATCGATTGCAAATGTTATAACTCCCTGATTTACGAGACGTATTGTGGTTTGGTTATTTATATATATGTTACTGAACGAAGTAGCAAGTTACGTGAGATAGAAAGAACTGCTAAACGTTCAGATATTTATCCAATAATAAATATTAGCAGCTAGATTAGCTAATAGCAGTTGGAGCATAGCTATCGTGATATAATTCAAAATAAAAACTTTTGTCAGTAATTCCAGGACGTGCCGGTACCGGAATCGAAAGCCCATTTGCGGTTCGTGTTCAGGTTGCTAGAATAGGGTTCTCCACGAGCGACTCGTATGCCATTACTTCTAATTTGACGATCGATATTTTCCCTTCAGCACTATATCTTACGATATATGGCTGGTATTTAGAACGAGCCGAAACGTTCTTACTCCTAGTTTTAAACCTAGCCTGTAAGTTAGGTAAGCAAATACGTTATCTCCAATAATGCTACTGTTTAATTTAATTTAATTTAGGTATA